TCTCTCTCTCTCTCTCTCTCTCTCTCTCTCTCTCTCTCTCTCTCTCTCTCTCTCTCTCTCTCTCTCTCTCTCTCTCTCTCTCTCCAGTGAATATTTCATCGTTGTAACGGAAGATTCAATTGATTTTGCACATCTTTTCGTTGGACGTTGCGCGAAGCCAGCCACTGGACTTACCTGTTGCCGTACTTTCGCTCTCCCTCTCTCATCCATCTCTCTTTCTCTCTCTCTCTCCCTCTCTCTCTTTCTGTCTCTGTCTCTATCTCCATCTCTCTCTTTCTCTCTCTCTCTCTCTCTTTCTCTCTCTCTCTCTCTCTATCTATCTATCTATCTATCTATCTCCTCCATTTCTCCTCCATATCTCCTCCATATCTCCTTCATTTCTCGTCCATCTCTCCACCATCTCTCGTCTATTTCTCCTCCATCTTTCTTACTATTACACCCGTCTCTCCTCCATTTCTCCTCCATCTGTCCTCCCTCTCTCCTCCATTTCTCCTCCATATCTATCCTCCCTCTCTCCTCCATCTCCTCCATCTCCTCCATTTCTCCTCGATCTCTCCTCCATCTCTCGTCTCTCTCTCGAAGCCGGGAGCGCTATTCTGCGTGTAGGTGGAGAGGGGTTGATATTCTGGCTCTATCATTGTTGCGTGCAGGTTGTCATGTCGAGCCACAAGCATGAGGGCAGCCTTGTCAAGCACCATTTCGAAGTCCTTGGCCCCTCGGGTAAGGATCCTTCGAAGGGGGCAAAGTGGTGGGTCTGCCATTACTGCGATCTAAATTTTTCAGGCAATCTCAATCGCCTGAAGGAACATTTCATGAAAGGGGTTTGCGCAGTTGAGAAATCAACGAAAACGTTGACCGCAGAGGAAATATCGAGAAGGAAGGAAGGATTGAGGCAGACAAGGATAAACGCGGGTATGCCGAGGGACGGTGCCAATGCCCTACTTGCTCTTATCAGTTTGGTGGCTGCTTCTATGGGCGGAGGGTTGGTGGAAGGGGTCGGCGATGCTTGTGGCAAAGCGGTGGGTGATGCTTGTGATGCTGGGGTGGGCGACAGCGGGCCAGGTATAACGGTGCAACGCACAAGTGCATCTGCTGCACGAATGCGACAGATGCTGTTGGAGGAGACCGACAATGTTGTCACAAAGAACGAGCAGACATCAAGAAGAGTAGACCGGTGGATGACGTGCACGAACCAACCATTCAACATGGTTGAGAACGAGTTCTTCCTCGACATGGTCAACGCCATACGAGAGGCCCACCCATCGTGGAGACTGCACTCGAGAGAGGCGGTGCCCAATGGTCGATTGAACGGACAACACCAGAGGGCGGTCGAGGACGTGGGAAGGTTGGCGAAGAAGTGGGCTCGTACAGGCTGTATGGTGCAAGTAGATGGGTGGTCTGACCGGCGGGGAAGACCGCACGTAAACGTCATGGTGTCCTCTCCCATCGGCACCGTCTTTTGGAAGTCAGTATGAGTAGCCGGAAAGGACAAAGACGCCAGTGCGTACTACAAAATACTAACCACTGCGATTGAGGAGATTGGCCCAAGAAGCGTGGTTGGGGTAATCATGGATAATGCCCGGGTTTGTGTGAAGGTCGGGAAGTTGGTGGAGAAAAAATACCCGTGGATATTCCGGGTGGGTTGCACGGCGCATGCCTTTGACCTCGCATTGGAGGACATGGACAAGCGCATTCCGTGGTTTGYGGAAACTGTGAAGAGAGGGAATGTGCTGGGGAAGTTCGTGATGAACCACGACAAGKTTCGAACACTCTTCCTGACCAAATCGGGTGGTGTGCAGATTAAGAGGTCGGGCGTCACTCGATTCGCGAACAACATCATCATATTGCAGTCGCTGTGGGACAGGAGAAACGCCCTGAAATTGACTGTGGCTGCCAGCGGGTGGGTGTCGTCCATAGTGCCGCCCCACTTGCGTTCTCAATTCGAGGAGGTGACGACGACTATCCTGGATGGCRGCTTTTGGGAGCGGGTGGAGAAGGCCTTGAGRACCACGGACCCCATCGTGACGCTAYCGAAGCTTGTCGATGGTCCGGGCGCAACAATCGCCAAGGTTTATCATCGAATGGATTGTGTGGTSGAGTCGATTCGCAAGTTGGACATCTTGACAGACTTCGAGAAGGTAGAGGTCGAGTCGATCCTCATGGAGCGATATGCGTTCATGACTTCAGAGTTGCACTGTGCAGCAGCCTTCTTGGACCCGGAGTACTGATCGCAGGGCTCCTTCAAAGACACTGAGATCCGAGCCGGGTTCAACATATGGTTGTACACGTGGTGCACGAACGAGATGTTCGATGACGTGAGCTGGCAGGTTGACGAGCAGGTGAATTTGAGGGGGGCCTTGCAATCAGAGGAAGCTTTGCGCGCAGCACGCACCAAGACCCCGACGATGTGGTGGGATGCGTTTGGCTCGTGGATGCATCTTTTGTAGCCCCAAGCGATCAGACTCTTGGGTCAGGCAAGCTCTTCTGCGGCATGCGAACGCAACTGGAGTCTGCATGAACTCGTTTTTAGCAGGAGGAGGACGAAGCTTATGCCCACCCGCCTATCAAAGCTCGTCTACAACAATTGGAACCTCCACCTGCAGTGGAGGCAAGAGCACGGTCGTGGTGTGGATGATGTCCACATTCCGTGGGTGGAGGAAATGCCAGATGCCGAGTTGAAGGAGGAGGCAGAGCAATTTTACAATGAATGGGTGAAACGGGTGACGAACAGCACATCGAGTGGAGGGAATGACGCGTCAGAGGAGAAAGACGAGTCGGAGGACAACGGCGATGGTGAGGAAGTGGTTGCGCAATGACGAGGTGGACAATGCAATGGACCGGGAGGAGGGCCTTGTGCACATAGATACGTACACGAATGACTGACACTTCAACACTCGGCCGGGGAGGCAGCTGGAGCGTGTCTTGCAAAGGTTGTCGGACCATCAGCGCCCAGCACTTGAAGTGCCGTGTAACAAGGAGGACCGAGAGCTGGCGTTGCGGGCTCGAGAGACGGGCGATTGGGTGGAGGGTCGAAAGGAAGGCGGAAGCAGTAGGCAACGTAAAGTGCGGCGCGGTGATAAGTGTCGTTGTGATGGTAAACGTGCTGCGGAGGAGGTCATTGCACCTCCGGAAAAACGGAGGAGAGGGCAACCGACCAACAAAGAGGTCACAGCAAGAAAAGCAGCAATGCAAGCTGAGAAGAGAAAGACTGCGGTGGAGGCATCGAGAAAAAAAAAAACTGCTGCAAAGAAAAAAGCAGCAGCAAAAACAAGAAAGAGGGACGACATCATCGACGATGATGGCACGAAAGCATGTTCGTCGTCTTCAAATTTATCAGAGGAAGGGGATGATGAAGATCATGATCCCATCGACGAAGAACCGCGGAGTGCTGAGGAGGGAACTGAGCACGAGGAGGAGGAGGAGGAAGACGAGAAGGAGGAGGAAAGCGAAGACGAAGACGACTCAGAGGAGGAGGAAGGCGAGGAGGAAGAGGAAGGGGAGGGGGAAGAGGAAGGGGAGGAGAAAGAGGAAAGGGTCGCAGAGGAAGAAGGTGAGATTTCTGCACGGGGAGATGCAGAGGATTAGGAAACTTAGGCCGAGTTGATGCTGCTGACTGCAAAGTTCGCAGTTTCGCAGTTTATCTTTTGATGTTTGGCTAAACTTGGAACAAAGTAAGAATTGTGAACTACATTTTCTCGAAGTTGTAGTTCATCTTCTTATTATCAGTTAAGTAACTTAAGTTGCTTAAGTCTTTAAGTTGACATTTTGTCCATTCCTCCCGTGTTGCAGTGTGCGTGTGTGTTTTTTTCTGTCATTTGACCATTTGCACAATTTTGCAGTGTTCTGTTTTGTTGGCTATGCAATGTTTCTATGTCTGCATCACGTAACTACTAAGAACTTAATAAGTAATAACAAGTTAACAAGTGAGTGTCCTGCCGCACTGCCTGCCATGCCAATGCAATTGTTGCAGTCACGACACCGTCGCTTGTTTCATAAGATGAGTCTTCTGCGTACTTCGGAAGTTCGTAGTTTTCGGACCCTTCTACATCTACAAATAGTTTGCAACTCCGGACTTCCCAGAGGTGCGCACTCCCCCCCAACAGTGACCCCTACCCTGCGGAAACTAAAAAAAAAAAA